ATCGCTTTTCAATCTAAAAAAAAAAACAATATAATCTGGCGATATGATTAAACATACTTTTATATCATGTGCACAATCGTGTATAGTGATAAAAAAATATTAAAATAGATGTGACCTACTTTTCTTTCAAAAGCTTAACACAACAACAAATGTCCTCTATAAGAAAAAAATTTCTTATTGAACTTTAAAAAGATATAGGTCGCCTAATGTAATCTTGTCTCTAGTATCTGTTTTGAGAAAGCTTATAAAATTCGTATGTATTGAAAGAAACTTGTTTTGTCGATCTCCATACAAAATCATTGAATCAAAAACTTTTCAAAACTTTGTTTATACTCGGTCTCGAGTTTATTATACAATATTCTCGCGAAACTGAAAGTGTTTTTTAAATTTCAATATCGCAACTAATTTGCGATATTGGAATTTAAAAAAAAAATATATATATATATATAAAATTGAAAAATGCTTTGCTCTAAAAAAAAATTTTAGATGTAAAATTGTGCGCATACATTTTCGGCGCAAAAATATTTCAAACGTTTAAAATATACAATTTCGTTTCGGTCGAATCAAGATAAAAAACCATCTTTTAAGTTTATCCATGTCGCACACATGTCGTTGTTGTTCGATAAAATAGTTTAGAAAAATACGCCACTTTGGATTCACAGTTTTTCGCACACCTTCTGTATTTTCGTAATACCGCGTAATGCTCGTAAGAGCGAACAGAAAATTCAAGAAAATCGTGTGTGTGAGCGGCGCATGTATATGCGCTCGTGCGGCAACATTTAACAAACGGCTATACGACGAATTTGCTATGTAACAAGACGATAAACGTGATGCTGGACGTTACGCTCAAAGTATCGCAGTTCAAAGCACGCGAGTTGAACCTGGACAAAAATACACCGAAGACGGACGCGAAGAGAGAAAAAGAGTAATTTATTTTTCCAGCTCAGTTGATCGAAATCGAAAGAGAAAAACCGAAATGTTCTTTTTTTTCTGATCGCGAGAAGGAGAATACCTTAATAGATTTAACAAAGCTTGATAGAACAATCTCAGTAGGGGATCTATTCTTGATCTTTGTTCTTACGATTCTACCACACTGATTAAGGATCACTTGAGACGCGTTTTCCGAGTGCTTCTTATTGACGAAGGGAGAGAAAACTCGTACAGTCTTTTTTGTTCACGAATCGTACGGAACGATCGTTTGAAGCTGTAAGACTCTTGTCAGATCTTGATTAGAAGAAGCACACCATAAAGCACGTAATGGTTTATACCATTAAAAATGACACGTAATTTTGAAATTTCTCGGAATTCCCTTAAGAAACTTTATAAATTTAATTTTTCAACAAAAAAAAGTGTAATATTATTTTATATAATGATTTCACCCCGGTAAAAAATTTTTTATACATGCTTATACACAAATTAAAATAATTATATCTAATTATGCAAATTTATACGCCGAATATGTCCATACAATTTTATTTTTGGCCATACAATTTTATATATTTTTTTTTACACGGAGAATTTCTTTTTTAAGAGAATGGCTTCAGAGATATTCCGTATCAAATTACAAAATAACTCTATTAGTATTATGTTAGATACAAAAAATTATATAAAACTATATTTTTACTATATTTTTAAAAAAGTTTTGATATATAATCATATATATATATATACTTATACACAAATTAAAATTATTATATCTAATTATGCAAATTTATATACCGAATATGTCCGTACAATTTTATACGTGAAAAATTTTTTACCGGGAGGATAAAGAAAGAAACCAAAACGTCACAAACACACACGTTGCATTTTACCTATTGTATTTATCCATTGTCCACAAAATATCGTAAGAGATCGCGAATCGAGACTTTACTTGTTTTTCAATATAAAAAAAAAGAATAATCATCTCGAGGATGTCGAAGAAGAATATATCGGCAAACACTCGAAAAATATCATCGCACAAATATCGCACCGGTGTGTCACATATATCTTTTTCTATTTCCGCGCCCTTGAAACTTCTCTCTGAGAAACTTTCCTTCCGCGAAGAATCGTCCCTTCCTCGGGATATTTACTTGAACGTTCGATACGGAGGGGATGCGTGACACTTATCACACGCGGAAACCGAAACGAAACGGCCGGAACACACAAAGAGCGGTTACAGATATATATTGCAAGTGCAGATCTTCTGTTCGAGCTGTGCGTTTGTATTTCATTCATCTTCTATTATTCGTGCCTCACTACGATTCCTCATTATACTGCAATAACAAGAGCTTTTTGCAAGATAAACACCGATGTTGCGTACACATCACGTCGTGCGTACAGCATCCGCAAACAATGGTGTGTGGATGGCGACGTAACAGCAATCATAAAACCAGACACGTAGCAGAGAGAAATTTAATCACACACGAAGCGCAACTGTTATAACCTTACTAAATTATTGCCCTATACACTCAGTCACTTTTTTTTATTGGCTTCTCTTTAAAAAAAATTCCGATACGCGACACGGGGGTACGATCCCTCAAAGAATCTGTTGTTGCGTAACAACGCGACACGACGGTTAGATTTTTACATACGTATGTACATACAAAAAAACTCGATAAAATGCGCGTGCGTGTATTCCTTTTTTTTGTACGCATTATCCTTATGCAAGCTGTATATTGTATATGTATGCACATATATGTATATATAGTGCGTATTAAGAAAATACGGAAGAGAGCAGATAAGTCTATTGTATACCTATAAAAACGGAAAAATAAGAAATATAAACTTTGCGCGTTCGTTATAAGTTATATTTAAATGTAAATCTGAAAATCACCATGAAAAACCACTCGGAAGAAAATACTTCGACGTTCTCTTCATCAAAGAAGAGCGACATCGCAAAACCCTCCGTTATTACTTCCTCTGACAACCGTAAAAGGTCGCGTTAAATGTCGCGCGAAACGCAAATGTAAGGTAAGCGACGCGACAACTTGTTGGAAAATTCGTATAATGCGCGGGTCGCGCGTAAAACAAGTTTATATTATAAGTAATTAATTAATGCAAAATGTCGTCGTGATGCCGTGTGGCGTGTGGAAAAATTGGTAAAAGAAATATTCGCGCGTTTTTTTTTTTTTTTTTTGCATTCTCGAAACGCGCGCGGAAATCGCGACGTTGTTTGAACGGAACGGTTTTGCTCGCCAAGAAAAATGGTCGATTTGCCGAGCAATGTCGCAAGTAACGGCCCGTATCACGTACGTACGAAGAACAAACGCAGACAGAACGATTTCAGCGTCACAAATCTCGAATTGCATCCACGTCAATTCGGTTAACTCGACACAGACAACATTTGAAAACGCGAAAACTCTTTTCTTGTTGGAAATATTCATATTTCTTTTTTTTTTTTTTTTTTTTAATTTTTACTTATTAAAACCAAATCGCGCGAGTTCGGATTTAATCAACTTGATCGAAAATCGGTAAAAATGTTTGCACAATAGAGAGAGGATTTTGTAATAATTTTACATATTGAAGTGTCTTTCTGTTAAAAACCGTATAATGACAGTTTCAATTATCTATTTAAGCAAAAAACATTCTGAAATTTCAAAGAGATAGGTTACACGCGCAATGTATGCGCGACACGAAGTTAAATTTTAAATTTAAAATGCTGGAATGTTACATCTCGCTATACATATTGTTATTATATATCGGGATAACACCGGCTTCGAAAGATTAAGCCTAATTTAAGTTTCAATTTTCAAAGTTCGTGTAAAAATCGAGTTTAAACAAACGCTTGTAATAATGTTCGTGATGTTACCGATAAAATAACACGACGAAAATAACACATATACGTTTTGAAATTGTAATAATCATACATATTGTAAACGATTGAAATCTGCGTGTGTACACATGTGTTTGTAACATCACTTATTTCACGAATCAAAAATATCTCTGGTGAACAATATCAAGCGCGGTAAAATATCGCAAAGTATCTAAAGCAGTTTATTATTAATTCAAAAGATTATTTATATATTTAGCGGAAGACAATTCGCGTTAAAATTGTATATAATTTTATCCAACCGACGGAAAAATGTCGGGACGCGCGCGGCATGGCACGTGAAAACTTTCGTTCAATCTTGAAAACGTGCGAGGACTCGCGCTCGCTGAGGTGCATGTGTCTCTTCTCACGTATGAAGTGTTATAAAATACGTCGCTATATTTATGACATTCCGACGTCACGGAGATTTGTCACCCGAAAAACTCACGTTCCGCATCCGACCGCGAAGATTCGTTCGCGCACACTGATTTTTTTTCAAGTCACGCCGCGGGACTTGAAGTATTGTTGTGCTCGAGAAAATAAAGCGGACCGCAATCTCTTTAAAATTGGATAAGAATGAGAATGGAAAACAAAGACGGAATAAGGAAGTATCGAAATAAAACGCGGAAATAAGTATTTCCGTGAGCTTTTCTCATGAAGAAAAATTGTAGAAAACGGACTTTAGCCAAGGTGTCCGTCTAGGATAAAACTTCTTCAACCTCGGGCTTTAGAGCTTTTCGAAATGTAGTGCGAATATGCGTTTGAATGTAAAAGAAGAATTCTTGAAAAAGATGTTGATCCTAATCCAATTTACTCTCAATTATCGCTACTAAAGAAAAAAACTTTCTCGCTTTTTTATGTAACGAAATTAAAATTCTCCCACGCGAATATAGATACGTGCTAAACTAAAACTACTTTTAGCTGTCGGTGAAAAGAAAAATTTTGAAAAGAGCGTTTTAAGTTTTTTGCATAAACGAAACGTTTCTTCTTGAGAAAATTTTGCTTCTTTACAAGTCAACAAGAAATTTACGCTCTAGATATCAGAAACGCTTCTCCAAAAATTCATTTGAAAGATTATTTCTGAGTTTTGATGGAAACGTTGCTGAAATATACGTTATTTACGTTTTGTTTTTTTTTTTTTTGTTTTTGATATAATTCGAAACTTTTGCTAATCAAGTTTTTGTTTTTTGTTTTGTTCGTTTGTCGACAGGCGACGTAATAGATATCCTGACGCTTATAAACTCGGCCATCAACTTCATTCTCTACTGTGCCATGAGCCGACAATTCCGCACGACCTTCAATCAGCTGTTCTGCAAACGGTGGCGGCTGATCGACAGGTGGATACCGGTGCCGCACCAATCGATGGAGAACAACGGACACACCGGGACCAATCACACGGTGACTCAAGTTACCCAGGTTTAGCGTCGAAGAAACCAACGGACGTTTTGCTATCCGGTTTAAAAAGAGAGACTGGCTGATTAGAGCCTTCTTTCAAGACGCGCGTACTACAAGTCCGAGGATTGTTGAAGAGGACGGGACCTTTCTCTCCGTGACTCTCCGTTCGCCAAGCTTTGCGCAAACACAACACAAGCGGACACAAGGAAAGAAGAAAGCTAGAAAGAAAAAGAAAGAGAAGAGAGAGAAGAGATGAAATTTATTTGCTCGCTACTGCCACCGGTCCTAATTGCGCCGTCGTTGCGAACTTTACAACGCTCCGGGCGTTTTCAAGCGCTACCGACCGCGTTCCGGACATGCCACACGTCGGATGTGTAACAAATATTTGTTTAAGTTGGCTGGCGATACTTGCTGTACATTCTTCTTCCGCAACATGTTTCTTTTTAATTTTGTTCGTTACTTACTTACAATCGCAAAATCAATCAGCGGGGGCGTTTGGCATATTGTGACGTAAGATTGATTCACACACAAAATGTTTCCAATAGATACGTGTTTAAAAGTCAGTAACTCTAATTTTGCGATGCGGATTACGCTTGAATGCGAAAAAAAATATTTTTCAATCAAAAAGTTACACACTTCTATTGTTTTGTTAACGGTGGCACACACTCAAAGAAGAATGTAAATAATAAAACAACGAAGAAAATGAATAACAATAAATAATAGCAAAAATAAAGTGACAACAGAGATGTACACGCACACATATGCGTATTATACTTTTTCTTTGCAGGCAGCTGGTCTGCTCTCTGCGTGTATCTTTTAATATATTGTACTTTGAAATAAGAGTTGTAAAGTTTGTCAAAAACAAATTGTCGTCAAGTATAATTTAAATGAGAGAAACTCAGAAGAAAAGAAAAATCTCTGCAAAAAAAAATATACTCCGCATAGACGTTATTATTTTAGAGTTTCAGCTTTGAACTCTAGTAGTAATTGTTATGTTGGTAGTACAATGAATTTTTATTTGCGTTATGTTCAAACTTTTGATTTAAAAATCCAACTTGAAAACTTTGACGTTGCGCGTTTTCTCTAATTAAGTTTATTTTACGGTATGAGAATTGCGGCCTGAAAAACGCTTTAAACATGCGTCGCGTTTCGTTAAGTAAATTATCAATATTAACAGTTATATATATATATGTATATATAATATTAACAATTTAATATTAACTTAATACTACGCGGCTTAATGAAAACGTAACAAAGCGCGTCTATTAAACTGAGCCTTTAATGCCTCCAACATTTGCAGGTTATTACAATGCCTTATTTTCTCCGGTAAGAACACGGGATTTTCAACAACAGAAAATCTATGGAGCTTGGTTTATATGTTGTAAACAGTTACTGAAAAATGAGAAGCGACGTGCTTTTTTTTTTTTTTTCAGAAAGTGCAACAGCAAAATGTTCGTGTACTTTTAGATTTTTCTAACGTACATTTTGCTATGCAACACGATCGAAGTTCGAAACATAGTGTCATCCACTTTGTTATTGGAAACTTAAAAGACTTTTCTATATAAAATGTCCGCGCTTCTAGGAGGTGCCGAATTATTAAAACTTCGCGCAAAGAGTGCGCGAATAAAATTATTTATCTCTCATTATTTTTTTAAATTATAATTCTTTTATTTAACGGACATGTGTTTTGATTATATAAATAATATCATATAAAACAGCGCGCGCGTTAAGTCTGAAGCTTGCAGTTTTAATGACACGCGGAAGCAAACGTTTAGCAAAATATATTTTATATTTACATATTTTCGCGCGCGCACGCGCGCAAATAAGTTTTTTTATTTTTAATTTTGTTCACCGAGCGAAATCTCGCAGTTAAAATTTTATTACAATATTAATTTTCTTCAATTACGAAGTTGTATATATCGTGTACTAGAAAATCATATGTATATATGTTCGGTAGTAATTAACGCAAAATAACAAAATTAATTTCACGTGTAAATCGGATGTAGGATTGGCAAATTGGTTGAGAAAATCGAATAATTAAATACACGCCCTAATTAAGTTAGCAATGATAAAGTTGGCACAATGTTTTTCCGCATATCACAGATAGACGAGCGACTGTCATGGAATTATTCGAAATGCGAATGCACGAAAGTGCGCGCAGTGATTAACATAATTAACGATGAAAATGTGAGATGTAGAATTTCCGCTCGACCAAAGGACAGTCCGGCTTTACGATCCATGCATTTTATGCAGTTACGTATTCCAAACAAAAAAATCTTCCCGAGGCAACTTCTTCCTCTTTTACTCAAGTTAAATGCAAATTACGTTCATCATTTGCATTCCACTTCCCTCCAAAAAAAATTGTTACACAAAGTATTTTCCTCTGAAATGTTATCTTTGTCTTTTTTTTTTACGTCAGATTGACGTAAAAAACGCCTTGTGGCTGAGTGGAACTTTTTATTATATAATTGAAATGTATATTAATCTTCTCCAATTACAAGAAGAATCATAAAAAAAAACTCGTGCATGTTATATATATCTTTTTCTTTTCTCGGTATATTGGTTTCGATTTCTTTTATTACTCTGCTAATAAACTCTGTTTTTTTTTTTTTTTTAAAAACGTTTTTAAAATATTTACCAAGTCTGTTTATATATATGGTCGCCTCGATCGGTGATCTTTTTATTTATGGGTTTTCATTTTTGCAAGGCAGTATAATAAAAAAAAAAAAAAAACGTATTGCGCGTTTTCACGCCTCACCTATAAAAGAGTTTTTTTTAATAAATATGTCTAAAACCGCTTAAAATGCGCACTCGGATCGAGAACTCTTGCCGAGCAAATTAGGTCAGGTTGTGTAATCGAATTTTTTAAAGCGAAAACTTTCGAGAACGGGCTATATTAAAATTTGTCGAAAAAAAAAACAAAAAAACAAACAACAAAACCAAATGTCATTCGATCAACACATGAGATAAAAAAAAAAAAAAAAATTGACACTTGATCTCAACTTTTTAAAACGCGCGCCACGGACGCAATAATCAAATTGCCGAATAGACTTGCTACGATCTCGTATTTTGCGTTTATTGTGGAAGCGGCAAACTCGAGATAAGCGCTTGACTACTCTTAATTAACTGGATCGTCGAGATCGCAAACAAAAAACAACGTGTATTACAAAACAATGGAAATCCGCGAATCGTGTTACCGCAAGACAACAAATTAGGACTCGCTTAAATCTTATATAGTTCTTCTATGTGTGCGATATAAAAGCGCGATGAATTGTCGCGATTATAATCGTTATCTTTCTCATTTGCGGTTGCTGACTTAATCGTCTTGAAAATGAAATGAATCATTGTGTAGGTAGTAAGTGTAGCTTATGCGAGAGTGCACAAAGATCTCTCTCTCTCCCCGCTGGAGTTAGAGATTTATTTATTTGCGCTCGTTCGCAAAACACGATAAATTGTCGCGCGGATTTTATTATTTCTCGTTACTACTTCACACATCGCAGTCACCGTTTTCAATTGAGACTTTGAAGAAACATTGAATTGTTGCTACACGTATCGTATTGTTCTTAAATAAATTTGTTTATAGTTTCCAGTCAACAAAAAGAAAACGTCTGTGTGAAAACGATCTTCATTATTTGTAAATTGATAAAATATTTGGCTGAAAAAGCAAATTTACACGAAGACGTGTAATGTGTTCTTTTTACTCGAAAGTAAGCTACGCGGTAAGTAACAATAACAATAGCAAGCTGAATCATCCTCTTCATGTTCATAAAGAAACAGAAACATTATCCCTCTGCACGTATCAGATAAGCGAGTAAAATGTTTCCCTTTTGCGATAGAATGACTCTATAGAAGAACAAAATCACAACAAAAAGGTAGTTACTATATATATAAAAAAAAAAAAATCAACATCGATACTATTCTACGGATTTGTTGCGTGCCGTATCTATTACATAGCGGATAGCAAAAGTGTTCGTTGGTTCCTTCTCGCGAAGGAAACAATTGACAACAATCGACGAGTTAATTGAGATAATGAATAAAAGCTGCGGTGTACGATAATGTGTTGTAAAGTTACAATTTGAAGATTGTCTTTTGCTGTATGTGTAGTTATAAAATATGTATTGAGTTTGTGAAGAGACAGGCAGCATCTTTTGTATCGATAAAACAATGTTAGAGTTGGACGCTCATTTACGACGATCGATTAAAAGATCGGGTTTACCAAAGCCTTTTCAAGATGTGGAACCGACAAAGGCCAAGCACTCTTTCTTTTTTTTTTTTTTTCAAAGACGCAAGGTAATTTCTCGGGTCTTTACTTTGTACTTCTTGAAAGTAAAACTCTCTGCCACGTACAGGATATAACACAGAAAGATAAAACAAAAAAAATGTGGGAACAAAGAGAAAGAAATAAGCGACTGCTAATAATGTTGTCAAAAACATTCAGTAAAATCGCGAGAGAAATTCTTTGTAAAAAAAAAACATACAGAAAGAAAAAACTTTAGAACAAACGAGAATTCATTAAGTATCTCGTCAAATTGTCTCCAACCTAACATCATAAATGTTTATCGAACAAAAGAAAATTTAATATGTAAGTCTTTTAATGTTAAAATGTTTTGTCTAATATATTATAAGAGCTTCAATCCCATCTGTTATTTTATACAATATACATATATATATATATATATATATATGTGATAACGTCGAGAGTTTGTAATGTTGTTCCATTAAATTGCGTTGTGTGATTATCAATATCATAATATATTTACCTTTGTGCATTAATACAAATGATAGAAGTTAAATATTTGTTCTATGTTGAGAGAATTTTCTTCGCTCACAGAGATATGCCAATTTTTATGTTATATTTGAAAATATAATGATACAAGTGATATGTATTAATATATGACTACAAAATAGAATTGTAAGTTAACATTTAAACAATTTAAAATGTATGTGCGTGTGTGTGTGTGTGTGAGCGAAAGAATATGACGATAGAGTTTGAATTTAAGAATTAATTAAAAACAAAGATCTCGCCGATAATCTTGAACTTTGCGCAACGATTACATACGGCTGGTAAATTTTAAAATCGATTAGTTTTTAATATATTCTCTGTAAATTTATGACATATCGAATTTTTAATAAAACGACATTCTTTTCAGGGAAACAACAGTATTTCCTTCATACTTTTGCGGAGTAATTATTGCGCACGAATCGCAATGAGTCACAATGTGTATGTGTGACTGCGTCAAAGAAAATCATTTTGCCATTTTTTTTTTTTTTTTTTAACATCGATTATAAACCGTATATATATATATATATATATATATATATATATATATATATATATATGAAGTCGTTATCGTCGTCGTCGTCGTCGTCGTTTATTTCTCTCTTGTTTTTTCTGATGTATTTAAATTATTTTAAAGCCCGCGCAAATATCACTTATTGATTATTTGTTTTCGATTGAGTTTACGAATGACGTTTAATTTTCGCCCACCGTAAATTCACTATTTAAAACCACGACCGCGCTCGTCGTTATCGAATCGACTAATATATTTGACTAACGACACCAGGAAAATTACATCGCCGCGGTTCGCGACGTCTCGTTATTTTAAATCCTCCGTGTTACAGCGGACTTGCCGATTGTGCCGCATGTATCGAGTTTGTTACCTCTCAAATAAAATTGCAGTTATCTCTAGCGCGATTAAAAATTACAAACACAAATTGAATTGAACGTGAATTGAATTATCATTAATAATTAATACTGTAAATTGAATTTTCCTTGATATAGCAATATGTTTTTTTTATATTTGTTCCTTTTTCACTCAAAGTAAATTAAAACTAAAAATCGGTATCCTTAAACCGGAAGAAATCTCGTAATTACTTCATCCGTAACTTTCTCATTAAGTATGCGTTTAAGAAAAGAGTGAAAACTGATTTTACAAAGTTTAACAGAGAGTTTAATTAGAATCTGTATATACGTTGAAAGTGCCTTGAGAGTAATTAAAAGTCCTAACGAATGTTCTGCTCTACCGGAAATGCTAGTTAAATGAGATACATCTCGATCCTCTCTCTAATACATTACAATCTCGAAATAGTCGTAAGCCGTAATTACCCTCGTATATATACAGAAAGCTATCGAAATAAAACTGTACGTACACGTATATGCAACTCTAAACACGCGTCTTAATACACGTGTGTACTTAACGTAAAGAAAAACAATAAAATTATAAATACCGATAAATAATATATATATTATTTAAAAAAAAAAAAAAACTATCAGTGTGTCGAATTACAGAAATTAAAAAAATAAAACTTAATCAACAATAATAAACAAAATTGCAATAAATCACGTCAGACTTCGAATGAAAATGGGCGTATACAGATTTTCTTTAACGACGAAAGCGAAAGCCTATATAATTCAATCGTTTCTCACTAATTCTATAAATATTATCTATCGGAACAAATATAATATGCACGTTCGAAAACGTGACCAAGCAAGGCAAATGTCGGTTGTGGCTTCACACACAAATGCACTTAGGTATTGCGCATCGGCCACCGGTCGTAGCAATTATCCATTACGTCGGACCATATTCAGAGTGTGCAGGTGTACGGGATGCATCCCACTGACAGACTCGCCGTTTCCAGATAAATTGCTGTTGGCGATGCATGCGTGCACGCGCACGCGGAGAAAGCCGCTAAAACCGCAAAAGGGGATCCGAGTACGTATCTCGCACCTGTTTTCTCGTTATTATTTATAAACGTTCATATATTCTGCTATCAAAATAATTTATTGTTCGTAAACAAACCGTGTCGAAACCGG